TTCCTGTATCATATTCTTCAATCCTAAAATTTCCATCTGGTTCTTGTTTAAGGTTTCCATTTCTTCTTTCAAGTCATTGAAAAAAATTCCTCATCTCCTGGAGCTCCTTGTCTCTTTTCTCTTCCATCTCAGTTAGTTTGGTCGCTACAAATATTCTGAATTCCTTATCAGACATGTCCACGACATCCATTTATTGACTGTGGGTGATGTAGGCTTGATGATTTCCCTTGAGGGAGAGGCCTTTTGTTGGTTGCTCATATTTCTTGAGGCTCTGCGATTGTTCCTAGTCATCAGGTAATCTATACAATCAACCTGGGGTCCAAGGAGGAGAAACGGTGGGGATGCATGGAGATTCTGAAGGGTCGGGCGGCAGCCTCAGTCCACATGGTGTCTAGAACTGCTGGCCGGCTCGATCCAGATTGCGGATGGGGTTGGGTGGGAGTTGGCCTTAAAGTCTCAGACAACCAACCTGAGGTCCAAGGAGAAGGAATGGTGGGGATGCGTGGAGATTCAGAAGGGTTGGGCCTGCAGCCTCAGTATGCCTGGTGTTCAGAACTGCTGGCCGGTTCGATCTGGCTTGCGGGTGGGGTGGGGTGGAAGTTCACCTTAAAGTCCAGACAACCAACATGGGGTCCAAGGAGAAAGAATGGTGGGGATACGTGGAGATTCGGAAGGGTCAGGCCTGCAACCTCAGTACGCCTGGTGTCTGGAACTGCTGGCCAGCTCAATCCGGATTGTGGGTGGGGTGGGGTGGGAGTCTGCCTTAAAGTTCCAGACAACCAACCTGGGGTCCAAGGAAGAGGAACAGTGGGGATGAGTGGAGATTCGGAAGGGTCGGGCCTGCACCCTCAGTCTGCCTTGTGTCCCTGGGATCCAGGCATTTTAACCTCTGCTCCACCTGCTGGCCCCTCATCCCATCCTCTTATTAACCCACTAGAATTGATTCAAAGGGCCCCCACCCTGATGACCTTCATCCTAATAACCTCCCGAAGACTCCACCTCTTAATCCCATAGTCAGATTAAATTCTCACCTATTAATCCCATCACAATCAAATTTCATCACATGAATTTTAGGGGAACACATTGAAACCAATAGCACTCCCCAGTATAAAAAAGATCCATCCTACCACCTCTGATCTCATCTGTATGTATAGCTCTGCTTTTAAAAGCTAAATATTTTCTTCAGGAAATCATTCAAAATGCCTATTGTTAACCAGCAAGTTCTTCTAAAAGTTTATACTAAGGAACTAAAAATATGCACTCAAATTTAGTTGCAATGTTATTGATAATAGTGAAGAAATGAATTAAGTGAAACTTAGTGACCAACTATTGATTGGATAAATTGTGGAGCACCCACATGTACCATAGAATTTTAAGAAACTCTAAAAAGAATGTTATATAAAAAGAATGATGGAAAAGGAAGTTCATAATATATAATTTTTTTAATTTTAAAAAAGCAGGCCATAATGCAAGATTTGCCATATGGTACTATTCTTAAAATGTATATATAAATATAAGCATAGAAAATGTCTGGAAGATTTTACAGTCACCAAAATGTAGTGTATCACCCACACACTCCTCCCACTAACACTGGAATGGTCTACTAGCAAATCTAGGTGTCTGGCCAGTCTCGTGGAATCTCAGTCTAAACTCTTCCTTGCTAAGCACAGACTGAGAGAAAAAAGGGGACACATTGTACAAGCTAGAATGTAGAAGTATCTGTCTGCACCTCTCTAATTCTCCCCCCTAAAACTTCTTGGCTTTGGAGAGGTTTCTTTTTTTCTTCCTTCCCCCTAAGTTCTCTCTAATGACAGTAACCTAACTACTTAAAAGTATCATGGATGATGACAGGAGCAGTTATTATGTTTCATATGTTGGACTTTGCCCATGGTTACTACCATGGTTCTGGGAGCCATAGAAATTATTATAATCATTTAGGAATTTTAAATATTCAAGTAGTAAATGTCCTAAATTAATTTCTTCATATTTTACCATAATTGGGGATATTTTTTAGATTATAAATTAAATTATTGATCTGCTTCATTATATTTTAAATTATGAAAGAAATGACTTTGCCATCCTTTTTAACCAGGATAATTGGGAATGCTTGTTTAATGTCAAATGGAAGGGACAGCTATTTGTTAAAGTAATCAATATTTAAGACCATTAAGTCTTCTTACAATATATTCAGATGGTCATTCCACAGTCTCTGGTAGGAGATTTGTGATTAACCATAAAAGTTTGTAGTAAATGTGTCATCTTCACATATTTTAATGAAGGTGTTGTAATATTTGTTCTGATTTCTGAGATCACTTTTTTTCAGTTACTGGCATTTGAAAGCAAAGAAGAGTTTTTTTGTTTTGTTTTGTTTTGTTTTGTTTTGTTTTTGAAAGAGATTTTTGCTACAGGATATAGGGCACATGCACTTACCAGAGAGACAGAGAGACAAAAAGTGAGAAGTTACCCCACAGGGGGATGGCCACAGCACAATTGCTTCTCCTCCAGTGTCCTCTCAGGATTTGAGCAGGCACTCACACGTGCCCAGAGTGATTTCAAGCTGCTAGGTCTGGGACTTGAACTGTGGTTTGACCATGTGGGAGTCCAGTGCCTCAACCATTATGCCACCTGCTGGTCCCGGAAGAGCCTTTTTTTTTCTTTAGAGGTTTTTGCTATAGGGCGTATGCACTCGCCTGACAGACAGAGACAGAGAGACAGAAAGCCAGAAATCACCCCCTAGGGGGGATGGCCACGCCGCAATCCCTTCTCCTCCATTCTCCTCTCGAGATCTTGGGCACGCACGCACACGTGCCCGGTGTGAGTTTTAAGCCACCTGGTCCAGGATGCGAACCATGGTCGACTACATGGGAGTCCAGTGACATAGCCATTACGCTAACTGCTGGTCCCAAGCCCTTTTAATGAACATTAAAGTACATGTTTCAATGTTTCTGTTACTTGAAACTAGAGACACAGACTAACCAGTGATTTATAAACCACACAAAATTGCCAATTTTTGATCTACAAAAAAAATGGCAATATGGTTATCCTAATATGTCAATAAAGATATGCAAATGATTTTTAAAATAATACTTTCTAAAAGTATTTCTTACCCAGACCTATTTGTTGCATACAATAGTTTCTTTTCTTTTCTTTTTTAAGAGAGACTTTTGGACCAGCAGGTGGCATTGGCTTGCTTTCTCACTTTCTCTCTCTCTCTCCCTCTCTCTCTCTCTCTCTCTCTCTGTGTGTGTGTGTGTGTGTGTGTGTGTGTGTGTGTGTGTGTGTTTCTCTCCAGTCAAAATTAAAATAAATGAATGAATAAATACAATGAAATAAATAATTCTTTTAAAAGAGAGAGAGATTTTTTTTTTCTATAGGGTGTGTGCACACTTGCCAGAGAGACAGAAAGAGACAGAGAGACAGAAAGCAAGAAATCACCCCTCCTCCCCAGGATTGATGGCCACACTATAATCCCTTCTCCTTCATTCTCCTCTTGGGATCTTGGACATGTACATATGCCTGGCATGAATTTTAAGCCACTGAGTCTAGAACTTGAACCATGGTTGACTACATGGGAGTCTAGTGACATGACCATTCTGCCACCTACTGGTCCCATAATTTTTTTTTCTAAAGTTGTTATTTACTAAGAGTTTTAAAATTATACTGGTTTGGTCTTACCATGTTATAAGAGTTAAGTTTCATAACTTGCTTTAGGAAATAAATATTCAAAATTATTTCGTGAACAAATACTATGTGTCAGATAATATACCAAATGCTGAGGACACATCAGAGAATTGCCTCTTGGAAATTATGGTCTATCTTTTCAAAATTTTATTTTGTTTACTTCTTGTTTAGATCCTACAGAATATTTAGCTCTTGGGGTTTTTTACACTAAAAAAGATTATTATTTATTGTTTTATATAAGGTTATGTCACACACAATAAAACATTTTTCTGGTAATCTGTAAGTTTATGTATCTTCCCATTGCATTTTTCATTGTAGTAAAATATAGATAACATAGAATTTACTTCTTTAACCATTCCAGTTATATTTTTCTTTGTTATCAAATGCATAACGGAAGTGTTAAGCCTATGTGCATTTAACATTGTAGACAGATGTGTGATGGAAACTGTAAATATGTCTATTGACATAACAAAAGTTCAAAAAGTAGGAAACCAAATAAAAAAGATCAGAATATCCTTTGAGAAGCTGACAATCAGAGAAAGATACCAACTTGGCAGCATGTTCTAGATCAGTATTTCCCAAAAGTTCAACATGAGCTCATGAAAAATAATAGGCACCTGGATTACACAGTACAAATGGTCTCAAGGAAAATGTATTATAACTGCTGCAAAATCTAATCAAAATTTAATCCATTCATAAATAGGCATGACATAGGTAGAAGATCATGGAATAGTAATCATACATCAAAGTTTACAATAAGCTGGTAAAATGGTAAACTGATTCTGCATTGCGTAACAAATTGAACACCAGTCATCTATCATTTGGGTTATATATGCAAATTCCTTTGTGCTTAGGATGGCCTACCATTCCTTAAAAACAGATTTTTTGTGTAATAAGAAAAAGAAATATGCTTTTGGTATTTTTCTTTTGTATATACCTATTTTTAATGCACTTTTAAAGAAAATATTACTAACAATAGGTTTTGGGGTTTGTTTTTGTTTTTGCTGAACTTATTTATATATTAGGGCAGTTCAGAAACATTGTTCTATACTCATATGCTTTATAAAGCTATAAAGGACTTAATAAAAGGGCTTAGGCACATCAGCTAATTTTCAAAAAATATTTTTATGAACAAAGAGAATCTTCCAATTTGTGTGGCTATGAGTGATCACACCCACTTCATCATCAAATTGGGACATTAAATAGAAAGCTAAAAGGACCAGTTAATTAATTAAGGAGTTTCTACTTTCGATGATAAATTCCAAGAACAAAACAATCAAGAGCTTCTTGGTTATATTGCTAGTCAGCTCCTTACTTACATTCTTAAAGCACCAAGCATAGTACCTTGCATGTAGTAGACATTTAATAAATGCCTGCGGAAAAAGAAGTAGGATAGCCTAATTAGACATACTTGGATTCAAATTCTTACTCTACCTCTTAACAACTAAGTAATGCTAGGTCAATGTGTTGGTCTCAGGCTTTGTTCATCCTATATTGTATGATGGTGATAACTTGTTCCACAGTCGCTATGAAAGTTAGATGAGATAATAAATGTAATTATGTCCAGTAAAAAGCATGGGCAAATAATAGAAACTCAATGAATGTAAGATCCTTTCCCTTACCTTTTATATTTTTCATGCCAGAGTAAATCCAAGAAAACACAATAAAGACTACTCCCACTTTCCATTTCAATACCCTCCTCCCCAGATGCTCACTGTCCTTGCCACCTTGCATGTTATTACTCCTCGCTGTTGGAACATGGCTGAGGTAGAAGACCTGAATTTTAATATTTTAACTCTAGCCTTCAGTAGCTATATGATTAGCCAAGACATCCCAATGTGTCAAGAGTAGGGCCTTAGACTATTTTATTTGGAGATTAGTGAGTTGAATGTGGTAATTTAAAATATTTTTGTATGAAGAGGAACATGGATATGTAGCATCAATAAAAATTTATGCAAAGTCTTAAGAAAAAACAAGAGATTTCAAAGATATTTCCACTTGTGCTGAATTACTATGAGCTAAGGTCCCAGATTCCCGGGGATTCAAATTCTCTATCATGTCATTAGAACTACTTTGCTAAAAAAGTTGGTGACCTTTGAGGTTTCTTTCAGCTCAGAAATTCTTTCAGCTCATCATTCTTTCTCTCCTCCCCACCAAATTTCAACTTAACCTGATAAAGTAGGCATCAGGGAAAACCTACTGCATATTGCCCAAGGCTTCCAGAGGTAATTTTCTGGGCACAAGCAATTAGCTGCCCTAGGCAAAACTGCACAGTAGGCAAAGTTGCCTCCTCCTTCTCCTGCAGTACCCACCCCCACTACCTGCAGGCCTCCTCAACTGCTTTCAGCCTGCCAAAGCACTCACAACCACCCACAACTTTGACTACCACTCAAGCCTCAAGCTCTAAACTCTAATCCCCTTTCTCTCCCTCATATAATCTATTTCCTCTTTAGGGCTAAGAGGTTATACAAGGTTATATGATTTAAATTTTTCTGATTGACACCTGCATTTTAAAGAAGAGTATGTTAGCCTAAATAGTGAAATACTTAGGAAAAATATTTCTGAATCCTAGGACTACTAAGATGTACTTTGCTCACTCTAGGCCACCAAAACTTGCTTTACCAGCTTCTACCTCTTCAAAAGAATAGAAGTCATTTATTATATATACACCTGCTTCTGGAATATTGCCAAACTCTAATAAATTAATAAATGTCAATAGAATTCTCTTAGGTAATATGCAAGTTATGATGACTTTTTACTTTCCATATGACTCTAATCTATAATAATTCACTCTGCTTCATCCATTTAAATCATCAGAGTTCTTAAACTAGTAGCCAAGTATTTGAATAAGAACATGGATATGTTTTGTTTGACCATTTCTTTGGGCCTGTAACAGGTGATGAGGTAGATATTATTCTTACCAGTAATAAAAGCAGCTGAGTACCTATTGTGTTGTACCTAGTCCATATTTAGATTAAAACAAAGGGAACTTGAGTTTGTTACCTCTACTCATCCTTTAAGATCCCATCCAAAAGTCATCTTTTCTACAAAAGTTAGAGAATCAATCCTCTGCATGTTTCCTGCAAATTATGAATAGCTGCATTAAAATAAGCACCAAGAGGCAGGCAGGTGGCCTGGTGGTTAAGGCACTGAACTCCCATATGCCAACTGCAGTTCAAGTCCCAGACCTGGTGGCTTTCTCTCTCTCTCTCTCTCTCTCTCTCTCTCTCTCTCTCTCTCTCTCTCTCTCTCTCTCTCTCTCTCTCTCTCTCTCTCTCTCTCTCTCTCTCTCTCTCTCTCTCTCTCTCTCTCTCTCTCTCTCTCTCTCTCTCTCTCTCTCTCTCTCTCTCTCTCTCTCTCTCTCTCTCTCTCTCTCTCTCTCTCTCTCTCTCTCTCTCTCTCTCTCTCTCTCTCTCTCTCTCTCTCTCTCTCTCTCTCTCTCTCTCTCTCTCTCTCTCTCTCTCTCTCTCTCTCTCTCTCTCTCTCTCTCTCTCTCTCTCTCTCTCTCTCTCTCTCTCTCTCTCTCTCTCTCTCTCTCTCTCTCTCTCTCTCTCTCTCTCTCTAATCAAATTGGATAATAGTAATAATAAATAAATGCATTTTTTAAAAAAAGGTAAGCACCAGGCTGGCCAGTTGTATGGTGGTTAAAGTAGCTAGATACCACATGGCCAACTACTCAGTTTGAGTCTCAGACCCAGCTTGAAAAAATACACAGGGCACATGTGAGTGTGCACCTAAACTCTTGAGAGGAGAATGGAGGAGAGGGGATCGCAGCATGGCAATCACTCTGTGGAAAAATTACTTTCTCACTTTCCCCCTCTTTGTCTCTCTGTGAGCACATGTACACTAGCAAATTCTTTTTAAAAAAAGAAAAGTAAGCACCTAATCTTATATAGACTCCAAATACAATAGTTGACTGCAAATGCAATTCAATAAACTGGGTCTCATGGTGGAGATTTCAGACTGTGGAGTTGAGGAAACAAGAGGTATTTGAGACTAAGTTTTACTCTGACCTTAATTTGCATAATGTACAATGTTGACTTCTTCATTACAAGTAGAAATGTCTAGAATCACCTATACCTTCTAGTGAGTCTGGAGACAATATATATCCTTATATGCTACAAATACAGTGTTGATATTTAGGCAAATTTTGTTTGCATTATGCGACACCTTTGCATCTTTCTTCTCTCACATATAAACTGAACTATTTGGACCATTTGGACCTTAGCCAAGACCCACTCCTCTGTTGCCTTTTCTGTATCAAGGCAAAATAAGCAGAGGCAGAACATCTTGCCCTCAATTCCCTCTATTGCCAAGACTCTCCCAGAGAGTAAACTTAATAACGACAGTAATCTCCATAAGAAAAAATAATGGCACAAATCTAGTGTCTTGGAGCTTTGCTGTGGCCCTACCATATAAGAACTATTCTCTTAGTATTTTGGTAACTGAACCTCCTTGGACTGAAGGTTGAAAGGAGCTAATATTATTCTAAATCTTATCCTTTTGCATACAGGATAATGGCAAAACTCCAGCATAATAATACTGGAAATTTACATAATGCCCTTTTCACAGGCATCCATAGTACTTTGCAAAATTTCTTATGCATTTTCTCAATAGTAGATAAGAAGAGAGGGGAAATGATTGATTCTAGATGGGGAAAGAGGGATAAGCAAAACATGAATCCAAAAAATAAAATAGAATAGAATGTAAGGCAGAGAGCTTAATAGTGGACTCAACTCTGAACCTAATGTTCTTTCCACTATCCTTCTGATAGCAAAGGGATTTTTTTTCTTGTCTTGATTCTGCTATTCAATAGAACCAAGTACTGTTGAAAGGCAAAATGAGAACATTAAAGCAGCCCTTAGAATTGGACACAAGCTAGAGACAAATTTAGAAGGCAGGTTTATTAAATATGGGTTTCAAATAAACTTCCTTTTAAAAATTAAGAAATCAATAGGTCAAAATTAGGGGAAAAATATAAAATATCTACAAAACAAGCTGCATCTTGTGTATTCTAATGATAGAGGATATAGGAAATTGTTAGCTAAAAAAAAAAAGATTGCTTACTTCAAATAATCTGTAGGTAAACAGTAACAAATTATAATTTTCCTGATAAATTTCTCAAAGCAAAAATGCATCCAGTCTGGACTCACTAGGAATTTTTCAGAGTATTGAATTTATAAGGAAAACCAAAAATAACTTGAAATAGAAAAGTGAGGATGGAGGGTGGGTAATATATAGAGTGATTAAGGCTTGAGGTTGAAATTTTTTTAAGGCAATAGAAAAAAAATTTAAAAAAACCTAGTGATGTAATGATAGCCCCAGAGATTTAAAAGTGTTTCCTCAAATATAGATAGGGGATAAGAAACTCTGTAGAGAAAATAGGCCCATTAATAAATGACAAATGGGATGAAAAGAGATTTTGAAATAGTTGGGCTACTGAACTATTTGTTTTTGTTTTTGTTTTTAATAGATCTTTTAATAAGAAGAATAAGAGAGGGGCTAAGGACAGAGAAGGAACAGGACTTGTCAGCAGAATCCTGATAAATAGCAAGCAAGGGAATTCAGTCCTTGCAAAAATAAGGATTTTCCAAATCAGCAAACTTGGGGGATATGCTTTCCTACTGGGGATAAAAAGGACTGAGTAATTTATATTCTGAACCACATTTTCTCTTGCATCTTCATCCAGCCAGGATGATCAAACCATATTATAAACCTCAGAAACTGATTTAATTAATGCAAATCACCTGCCTTGCATTCTCACTCCTAATATCCTCAGATAATCTCTTATGCTTTTAACAAACATTAATTATCTAGTAGTGCCAAACACTGTACTAGGTACTTTGAATACAAAGAATGAAACATTATTATATTGTACAAGTCACCACATTGACTTTGGGTCCCTTAATTTTGGCTCAGGACACCCCCCCACCACCACCACCACACACACACACACACACACACACACACACACATCATATAATCATACATTTCTTTAACATGACATTTAACATGACCTATCTTCAGTCCCAAATTAAGTTCCTAGAAACTAAGTATCCATGACTCTGAACAAGTGAATTATATCTGTATAGCTCCCAGAAGGCCATTCTTCTCCAAAACATCATTAGGAAGAGTTTTAACTGAAAATGTAATTAAAGTATGTGGCTAACATTTTGAACTTTCAAAAGAATGAATACATAATTAAAAGTATTCCTCCCCTCTTAAATCACCTTCCTTTACCCCAAAACTGATCACTATTGAATTATTTATGTAGCCTTCCACTTAAGGAGAAGTACCACCATTTTGAATGTTATGTTCCTGCTTTATATTAAGTACTTGCCTTCTTTCTTCCTGTTGCCTGGAGAAAACAGAGTGATTAACATTCCTACTATCTTTACTAAATAACCCTAAACTCCCTACCTTAAGATGTTCCTTAGTGCCAGACCCCTTGCCCTGAGTCATGAAGACCATTAAGATTCTATTGTGTCTGTGTAAGTACTGGTAAATCCCCAATCCTAAAGATTCCCCAGGTAACAGTGCTTAATTTTGCTTTTGTGCAAAGCTTACTCAAGGATATTCCTTCTCCTTGTCACCTCCCTTCCTCAATAGTTACTGCTCCCGCTGCATCAATCAAAATGTGCCTTTATAAGCCCTCTTCTCCTTACACTTGGGGCTGTGGGGTCTTTGAGAGACATGAGTCCTCCCGCAGTCGCCAGCTCAATCAATAAAGTACAACTATAATTTGGCTATGTCTGGATATCCTCTTATTTCTCGCTGATTTGACTACGTTTGGAGATGATAATATACTTTTGAGCAGGGTTGTCACAAAAATTAAATCAGATAGTTTATGTGAAAGCAACTAGAATGTCTAGAATGTTAGGTACTTTTAGTACATGGGCTAATTAAATGAATGAGAAAGCAAATGAACCAATAATACTTCCAATTTTGTTTTCTATCTGATATCTATCTCCATCCACTAGAGAGCCTCATGAAAGTAGAAATCACCCTTTTCTGTCTTCATTCACTGTTAAATCCCCAGAGCCTAGAACTGTGCCTGCACATAGTAAAGCTTGAGTAATTGGCTAATGAATGAATAAATATAATTAGCTATCATTCTTACTTTCCTCTGACCTCAAGGTAAAGGGGCCTATTTAAGATTAAATTGTGGCCTTCTTTCAAGTGAGATTATTTGTAATTTGATCCTGAGAAAAAGTAAAGAACAAGGCTATTCCCAGATGGGGGTGAGAACCTGGCAACTCAATGTGTTCTGCCTGCCAAGATAATCTTACTTGAAAAGAGTCTGCATTGTCAGCAATTTTCTTAAGCCTCTTAGATTATCACTATAGACAGGTATGTTGAAAATTATTTTAATTACACTTAGAAAAAAGAAATAAGGTACAACACCTACATGGCTCAGTGTCTAAGTATGAGTCCCAGGGCATTTACCCAAGTTGCCCTATCCAAGGGATGAGTCTGTTAAAGACTGCCAAATCAAATGTAGAACACAAAGTGCACTCAAGGGTTTCTCTATAATAACATAAAACTCACTAGTGTTGCTTTCTCAGCTTGGAGAGAAAGAATTGAAGTTAGAGAAAGGTGTTAACCCTGGATCTCAGCTTGGAGAGAAAGAATTGAAGTTAGAAAAATGTTTTAACCCTGGCTGCACCTTTGGTATGAATGTCATCTGTCCTGTGTGTAACTAAAAGGGAGCAAAGTTGATAACCACTGGTCTAGACTAGACCCTTTCAGGTCCCATGAGACAATTGGTCAGATTTCTAGAGCTGTGTTTCTGGGGCAACCAAGGCCTTCAATTTGGGGATCATAGTATAATTCAAATAAATTGGATTGAGCTTTACTTGGTTCACTCTCAGCACATTCTTATAGTCAAAGGCACACAGTTGGGAAGTTACAAAGTATTAATAATTATTAGTACAATACTCTCTTCACTCTTTATCTTTTTGCTTCATTACTTGAGATCTCCAAGGGAAAGGGTGAATTCTATACACAGGGTAAGAACCTTTTAAATCCTTTCCCAATGCTGCCCCAACTTAGTAACCTAACATAGATGGTAGTTGCTCCTGAAAACATTTACCCTTAATTCTCAGTTCCTTCAGAATTCTATCCAACACACAATTTAGAGATCTGTCTCTTTTCTTTGCCACCGACCTGATGTCATTGCCAGTCAATCTACTTTGCCTCTTAGTTAGAGGGTACATGCTTTGCACACAGTTTTCCCTTCTAGACTTCAATGTTGATTGAGACAGATATCCTTTGTCATAATTACCTTCAAGTGACTTGAAGGATTTTTATTTGTTCTTTTTCTTAATTTTACACTTAGGTGCTCCAATATTTTCTTCCTTTCCGCTTGTACTTTCTATATTTAAAATGAGCAGGTATTGATTTTATAAGAAAATAGTTATTTTTAATTTTAAAAGTTTCATAAGCTCACTAGAGAAAACTTAAAAATTCAGACAAATAAGGAATAATGTAATCATTAAGAACACCTTGATTTTAATGCATTTCCCTTTAATCTACTAAATGTATACATGCTACATACACATATAAACTATACTGTGCTGTATTCTTTTTTATTTGACATCATATTATGAATATTTTCTCTTTTTATTAAAATCCTTCAAACTATTATTTTAGTTCTTCTACTGCATCCTACTGTATGGATATATAATTATTTACTCATTCTCCTATTGGAAATTTAGATCGTTTCCAATTTTCACAACTCTATAATTGATGTTCATTAATTTTTGCATCTATAATATTTCCTTAAAATAGATCACAAAAATTGGTATTTCTGAGCCAAACATAAAAACATTTCTTTAACTTATATGAAAAATTTCTACCCCAAAATAGAGACTGGTACAATGAACACCCTTATACATATCATCCATCAATATTTCAAAATATTGTAACATCTTTATTCTAAGCTAATTCATATGTGGTACATTATCTAATTGCTTTACATAAATGTACCAGTTTTCACTTTTACCAACACTGTGAAGTTCTCATTAATACTCTAGCCAGTACCAAGTATTATCTAATCTTCATTGACCAATTTGGTCAGCTATTTTAAATCTAAGTTGTTAGAATCTGAGTTTATATTTCCTACAAGTCCTGCTCAGATCCTCTAAGAATTAACTTCACCTCAGGACCAACAGATGGCATAATGGTTACATCGCTGGACTCCCACATATTTGACCATGGTTTGATTCACAGACTCGGCAGCTTAAAATTTATGCTGGGCACGTGTGCATGCATGCCCAAGATTCCAAGAGGAGAATGGAGGAGAAGGGATTGTGGTGTGTCCGTCTCCCCCCCCCCCCAGGGGGGGTGATTTCTTGCTTTCTGTCTCTCTGTCTCTCCAACAAGCACACACACCCTATAGTAAAAAAAAAAAAAAAAAGTTTCTCTCTCTAAAAAGAGAATTAACTTTATCTCACAATGTAGTTTTTGTCTTTCAAAACTGTCTGTCTATTTTCACTTGAGCAGGAGTTCAGACTTAACCTATACTCTTTTAGCCTCTAGAGAATGGAGGTGGGCAGCAGATCCTCTTCTGTGAGAGAGTACCCTAGATGTATTCAGGCAGGCAAACACCACTTCTGATCATCTGGATACTCATCAGGACTTACTGTGAGTAATGATGTTTGAAGATTGTAGGCAACTTGTAATCTCATGCTAGCTGTTTCCATCTGTCAGCTTTCTTGAGGTCTGTATCTTTGCTGAATGGACAAAAATGTAGAATATATAATTAAAAATAGCTTATTACGCATTATTAAAATTAGGTTGGCCTAGGGAAATGGAGTATCTCGCTAGCTTACTATTTGATTTGAGGCTAGATGTTGGCAAGTATAGAATTCTTCCTATTACTGTATAAATAATATGATTACTCTATGGTGTATTGGAAAGATCACTAAAGTGAGAATAAAGAGTCAAATTTTGGGGTCAGATGGTGACATAAGGGGTAACACAAGTGGATTTACATGAGAAGGTCCTGAGTTGAGATCTAAGAATCTCCCTGTGCATACCAGGCATGTGTGTCGCCATGATTCTGGTGGATGAAACAAGGTGGATTGACATGAAAACTCGGTTGGGAGTACTTATCTCTCTCTCTCTCTCTCTCTCTCTCTCTCTCTCTCTCTCTCTTTTTCTCTCTCTCTCATGGGAGAAATAAATAAGTAAACTTTTTAAAAGTCCAGGTGTAATCTTGACTCTTCTACTAATTATATAATATTAAGTTAGCTTTAAAATAGAATTATATTGGAGAAGTCACCTGCATCTGAGCTATGAGGAACCTTTTTCAGGGACTAGAAAACTGAAGACTTTCTGCTCAGATTTCACCCTCCATATCCCAATCTAAAGTGGTAGAGCATCCTCTGTATTCTCTCTGTCTTGCTCTCTCTTTTATAAAATTATTTTTTATTCTTAAGGTAAAGTATTTTCTTGGCCCTCTGATACTCTTTTATCTTGCTAATTCTTACCTTTCTCCCCCTCCCATTTAGGAGAGGCAAAGTGCAGGTCCTTTGAGAAGTCATCTGCATCTGAGCTGTGAGCAATCCGTTTTGCGTGTTGTGCGATTTTCATTTTTTGCTCTTTTTAAAAAAAAAAAAGAAGAAGAAAATTTATTATTGTTTTTTCTTTCTTTGTTTTCTTTTTCTTTTACCTTTATCACTGTGCTGCTCAGCCTCCAGACACTGTTTCAAGAGAGGTCAAAGTATACTGTACCCAAACAAATTATTACTATTAGGGTCAGAATAATCCTCAGTTCCCACTGAATCTGTTGCACAAAAGGAGGCAAACTGTACTGCAGAGATACTGCAGATGACCTTGTCCTGCATGCCTCTGAATGCTCAGACTGAACATCAAGAAATTAGGAAGATGGGACCAGCAGTTAGCGTAATAGCTATGTTCCTGGACTCCCATTTAGTCCTGGACCTGGTGGCTTAAACTCAGGCCGGGCACGTATGCGTGTGTGCCCAAGATCCCGAGAGGAGAATGGAGGAGAAGGGATTGCAGTGTGGCCATCTCCCCTGGGGGATGATTTCTCACTTTCTGTCTCTCTGTCTCTCTGTCTTTCTGGAGAGTGTGCGTGCCCTATAGCAAAAACCTCTCAAAAAAATTTTTAGAAAGAAATGTATAATCTATCAGATGACCAGAAACCACCACAGAGGCACAAGAAACATGAGAACCAAGAAAATATCTCTCCTCCAAGGGAAAAGAACATCCTCTCATCATCCACAGACAGTGGAACTCATGGAAATGTCTGCTAAAGAATTTAGAATATTCGTAGTGCCAAAGCTAACAGAGATGAAAGAGGAGATGATGAACTCCAGAAGATGCAGAAGAAAAGAGACAATGAATTCCAGGAGGTAAGGAAGTTCTTGCATAATCTAAAAGAGGAAATACCATAAAAAAGAATAAATTGTAACTGTTAGAGATGAAGGCTGTAATACAGGAAATCCAAACCTCCTTGAAAGTATTAGAAGTGATTAGATCATGCAGAAGAGTGAATCTCAGACGTAGAAGACAGAATCTCTGGTCTAGAAAAATTCATCACAAAGACTAAGAAAATAGCTCCCAAAAATCATAATAATATATGAGAAGTACTAGATACCATTAAATTTCCACTATCCAGATAATTGGTACTCCAAAAGGTGAAGAAACAAATAAGGGCATTGATAATCTATTCCATGAAATCCTGGAAGAAAACTTTCCAAACCTAGTGAGGCATTCAAATTTCCAGACCCTAGAAATCCAAAGGACCCCAGATAGAATCAAGCCAAGAAGATTTTCTTCAAGGCACATCATAGCCAGACTGACCAAAACCACAGACATGAACAAGATATTAAAATAGAAGACAGAAATGTCAGGTTATTTACAAAGGGTATTTCATCAGACTAACAGCAGACCTCTCATCAGAAACAATGCAAGCAAGAAAAGAATGGGAAAATATATTCAAAATGTTAAACAAAAAACAATTTCAACCAAGAATTCTTTACCCAGCAAGATTATCCCTCATATGAGAAGACAAGACAAAATCATTCTCAGATAAACAAAACCTGAAAGAATTTACCAACACCAGACCAGTTCTCCAAGAAGTTCTGAATGGAGAATTATTCCAGGAAAACTAAAGAGAGATACACAGAAATTAGAGTCTGAAAAAAAACAAGAAAATGGCCAACCTAATTATAGGGACAAATCCAGACTTGAATGTTAACTTCCAGAATATAAATGGAAAGATCAGATCACAACAGAAGAGAGATTAATTACATGAGTCTGAACTGGTGAAATATAATTTTATGACTTTTGACTAAAACATTACTGATTTTTTTCAATGCTTTGTTTTCCAGATTTAAAGACATTTGTCTTCTCTTGAGCTGTTTATAGATTCATCTACCTACTATTAGATCAGAATCCTAACCTTTTTCCTGGCTTTAAGCCTTAAACAAATTTCTTTCTCTTAACATTTTTTTAAATTTTGAGTTTTTAAAAGCTAAAACTACATTTCTTGATTAAAAAATAATTATATATATATATCCCACAGTAAGCTATATAACTTCAATATAACTTCAGCTAGGTGCTACTTTATAGTATATTCATTCTACTCAGAGTTTTATGCCTAAAGTCAGACATGTTCACAGATATATATATGTATATGTCAGTTGAACTTGCTATTGAAAATATCTCAATTAAGATAGTTTGTGAATCAATAAAATGTGAGTGTAAAAAAGGGCATGGAAAACATCTGTAGATACCAGAGACAGTGCGGGAGGAGGGTGGGAAATGGCAGAAGGTGTGAAGTAGGAAATCAAGGGGAAAAGGAAAAAAACAGGCAAAAACATATAAGAAATATGAAATGGAAAATTATTTGTTGACAATAACATATATGGTAATATCCTTGATTAAGCTAATACACAGTGTATTCTGAATGGGAAATAACATTTCATATGCTATGATGATGTACAGTGAGTGAATATAGAATAAATTTAAAAGAAAAAAATTACTTAAAAAAATCAATTTATATTTCATTTTGTTCTTAAATTTACTAAAGTCTCTTGTAGTGCTAAAATTCCACAACTCAACAATGTCTTAATTACTACCTATATTAAAAATGTACTTTAAAAGATGATAACTAGCATGGTAGTTGTTATTACATTATTTATAGAAGTAACATAAAGTTAACCAGTGGTATGCTGGTAATAAGTGTTTAACAACCAGTTCTCTGGAGAAAAAAAGCCCTGATATGTATCACTGGCCTCATTCCAAAGTATAAAGGCTCCCACCATAGATCATTTGAAGCTACCAACTTGAAGTCCTGAATGTGGAATACGGAAGAGATAGACACAATCATTTCACAAACCAGTATAAACTGGTTCTGGCATAACAGTGGCCCTGAATTCCAGGTAGAATATATTCAGTTGCATATAACAGAATAACCAACTATGGGTATGCCTGAACAGTCATTTAATTTTTCCATGTAATAAGAAATCTAGAAGTAGTGATTCAAAGATTGAGCAATTTCACCATCTCAGGATGTTGGATCAGTTTAAAATTCTCTTGGTCTTCTACTCCATTGTTGCAAAATAGCTAGTGTAGCTCAAGGTTTCTGTCCTTTTAAGATATTGTCTAAGTTAGGAAAGACATGAGAGTAAATATATTTTTTCTCCTTCTATTTAAAAAGGAAATATTTTACTCAGAACCCAAGCAACCTTCTCCTTATGTGTCATTAGCCAGGACTGAATCACATGTCTATCTTCAGATTTATCACTGACCGGAAGGATTTGAATTAGTCTAATAGTCTCAGGCCTATTGTGATTTTAACTCTGGGACCAGAAATAGCATTAATATAGGCAAATTACAGTGTCTGCTACATGTAAAAAAGTTTGAACTAAAAAATGCTGATGCTTTCCACTGTATATTCCGATTCAATTTGGTAATTATTGGGTCCATTCAATGGGCAAAACAAAAGAATGTATAGCTTTCTCTCTTTTGTCATGATCACATGCTCAAGAGTAGCTTTATAGATGACTTCCCAGCACAGGCATTAATATACTTAACCTTTTTTAGCTTCTTTATGTTCCTAGCATAGTCCTATTTTTAAGTGTCAAACCATATCAGAAATTAACTTCCAAAGAAATTTTATTTAATTAACGTGAACCCTTAAATCAAGCCTTACAAGAATAAATAGTCCTTAGTCAATTAAAAAATGTAGTACCAATTTAAGACTTTGATCATCATGTGATATGTCTATGTAATGTGCTCTATTTTATTTATTAGTAAATGCTAATCAGTTTATAGATTAGTTTATAATGCATGTATTAAATTAATAAAATTTCATTTATTAAAGATGATTCTATAGTATACAAATAATGTTTTATTCGATGCTTCACTACGTAACATTCAGAAAGTTTGCTATAATACACCCAAATTGAAATTGGAGTGTATTCAGCAAGTCTCTGAATAAAAGTAAATATATAAATAATTGAGCATGGAAAAGAAAAGCTTGTAAAGTCTGAAGATTCTCAAGCTTTTCACCTATAGCCTTTAAAAATTATAAATCCTGCTTAGATTCTGCTTCTTTATATTTTCCTAATTATCATTATATTACTCTATTTATTTGTAAATGCAAATTTTAAAATGCTGCTATACAGAAGTTTCTGTTTGTTTGTTTGTTTTTAAGGTTTCTGCCATTGGGCACATGCACTCACCAGCAAGAAACAGAGAGAGGCAGTGAGAGAGAAAGTGAGAAATCACCCCCAGGGTGATGACCACACCACAATTCCTTCTCTTCCATTCTCCTGCTGGGATTTTGGGCACATGCCCACACATGTCCAGTGTGATTTTTAAGTCACTGGGTCGTGGACTTGAACTACAGTCAACCATGTGGGAGTCCAATGCCTCAACCACCATGCCACCTGCAGGTCTCCAGAAGAAAAGACTTGATAAGACAAATGTCATGTTGCAGCAAAAACTAAAACATTACATTAAATTTTATTAAAATCTTCAAAAAATTAATAAAGAAAAGAAAATCTTACCACAGAAAAATATTGGCTAATTTATCTTGACTTGAATTTCCAAAATGGCAGTCTGCTGACCAAACACAGCCCACAAATGTGTGCTTAGTCTATATGTTTAAAAGCGAAGAAGTCACATACACACACACACACACAAAAATACACAGGCATGTGTGCTCACTAGGGGGAAAGAGAGTAAGAAAGTGAGAAAGCAACCCAGCAGGTCTGGGACTTGAACCTCAGCCAGCCATGTGGGAGTCTAGCATCTCAACCACCATAACATCTGCTGGCCCATCAGCTTCTCTTAAAAGTTATTAAGAACTGGCAGGATTTGGTCTGTATTCCCAGCTGGCACTGACTCCCCATTCCCATACCCCACTGTAGACAAAGCCTCTGCTACCTTCCAACCATTCACAGTCCCCACCATGCAATGGGCTCCATGTTAGCATTTATCATCTCCACCTCACCAGTTTCTCTCATTTAGAGCACCTAGCCTTCATATGGTTGTGCATGTGGTTCCTTCATAAAGACACTCTTCACTAAGGAGGCCAATGAGATCTGCCACCCTCTCTCCCCCT